ACAACGTCATCGCGACGTGGATTAAAGAGTGCATCGTTGCATTTAGAATTCAGTTGTTAATGAAAAATACGTGTTTAAGAAATAATATTTTTAAGTAGACTTTGCTTATTTTAATTATACTTCGAAAAAAGTGCAACTTCTATAAATACGATGAAAATTCAAAATAGATGACATTAGTTCTCAATCACAACAATTTAAAGAAGATCTTTCAACGAGATTCACTGCATTTCAGAAATAGCAGCATGCCAGATTTGCTTTGTTTATATCCAATCCAAATTAAGTAAAATAATATAAGCTTTATTAAATATTATAAATGACGTTATATATGAACTATTCAATTAAATAATATTTAAAAAATGTTCTAAGGTAGCTAAATACATACTGATATAAGAATTCTTTCAAGTTATTTTACTGTTCCATTAAAAGTATGCTTTTTAGTGTTTTTTTTTTGTATAATTTTTTTCTTAATATGCAAAAATATACCCTTTGTCAGTTCGTTAATGTTATACTTTTTAATTCTTACATAAAAGTGATAGTTTGAATATGAAAATATTGATATTCAAAAATATTGGGTTAGCATACATGTCACGCAAATGAAAAAAAGATTTAGTTTATATAAAATAAGGAAGCCTTAGTGTGAAAAATTAATGATTTATTCCTTTGGCCGCTCTAAAGAAACGAAAGCTGTCTAAATAATTCGTACCACTCTATTGAAAGTCGAGTCCCTAAACTGGTTCAGAGTGTTTCTTAAAGAAACCTTTTTGATATTCTTCTTACGAAAGTGGAATGGGTCAAAGTAGAGACACAAAATGAGGTTATTTGAGATCACATTCCCGGCTAAGCACCTTTGAGAGCACAAGCAATATGTTAAGCCATTCCATACATGTTAGTCGCCATATACACATGTTTACTTAGCACACAAACGTAACTTTTACAATACTAACAACTACTACCAATATTCTAAATTATCAAAGTCCTTAGACAGCAAGCGATCTATATCGATAGTATAAATAGAAATAAAATATTACAGTTAAAATACTAGACTAACAAAACCTGCTTCATAACTTAATTAGTTTTATAAAGAATTTCAGTAATATTAAAAATAATTTGTATACAGTCTAAATATGAAAATGATAATCTTGAAATATAAACCGAATGAATTTATCGTTAAGTCTTTATTAATCAAATAAGTTTTATACTTCGGGGAACACTTGGGGCTTTAGAAAATATTTATATTTTAACTAAGTACATTCACCTCAATTTTTAGGAGTATTAATAAAATATTAAATTTAATAAGACTAATTATTAAACTTAATTGAAAACAAAAAAAACAACTTAAATGAAGTTGCAAATATAACATCATGGTTTTACTTCTTACTAATAGCTTAATATTTCCTCACAGTATATAGAAAATTTTAATTCAAAATTACTCCTGAATCACAGGTACAAATGATTCCAACATTTCACATGACAAGCGTGCAGGCGCGTGAGTGAGATAACGTCAATCGAATGAATGGGTTATATCCGAAATACATCGATTTTAAACGTGTGCAGCGACGCTAGATTTGGTAGGGCCATAGAACCCACTGACAAAATTCATTTGGAACAGAATAAACCTTATAAAATGCTATTACTTTCAAAATATATTTTTAACATTATATAAAGGTTTTAAATAAAATAAACATGTCTTTAATGTAAAGTCTCAACCAGTAACTACGAAACAATTTTAAGATACTGTTATTTTAATATGAGCAACTGTAAAATAAATAAGTATCTTTTCATAATACTCTCCCGTGTATTTTACGAACGACAGATCACGAAGACACGATACACTTGAAGCAACGTGTTTGCTACGTCATAGTTCATTTGAGTATAAAGCTTTTGGTGATTTTAACCGGGTGAAATGAGATCATTTTAACATGGAACACATTTTCTATTCGTTAAAATTTAAACTCCTTGAATATTCCTTAAAGTTGAGGATAATAATTTATTTTTATGTAATTTTTTGAACTGTCTGTATTTTTAGCGATGTCAAAACTTTGAAGAGTTTCTTTATACAACATTTCGCTTCTAAGCTCTAAGCAACAACAACATTAAAATTGATATATCAATTGAATTAAATTATTAAAAATGTGATTATTATGAATTGAATTATCCACGATAACTATTTTATGAAACCTATCACACACAGTATTTACAAAAACTATTTTTTTTATTCCAAAAATATAAATTGTTTGATTACACATAAGATCAGGTACTCCTTAAAACGGAATACGTCTAGAAAGTTTTCCTTGCAAATCAGTATATTAGTTATTTATAATATTAATTATGTAAAAGGGACAGGGTATTTAATATTTTAACATACTTAATGACATGTGTAATTTAACTTGGGCGTCGTTTATATTCCGTGACAGAATGAGGGCGGACCTCCTTAATGAGAATGTGTTAGTGGGTGAACCAATAATTAATCGTAGGTAACCATCATTAGTTTTGTAATCAAACACTGAGCGCACATAACTTCCAACATATAGTCTTTTCGATTCCAAACTCTCACATGCTGATGTAAATAGAAAGTTTTCTAAAACACCGCTACAATTGTGTCATAAAAAGATTTCCTAAAATTTCATTGCAGGCAAGAGTTTTCTTCTATTACATGAATAAGTACTAGCAAATAACTTGTCGGTTTTGAAAGATTTTTTGTAAACATGATTTTTTACGACACCTATTATTCACGTGACTTCTTCTTTAAAATAAAATACTTACAACAAATCACATAATTGTTTCAACTTTTAATAATTTTTGGTGTGAATAAATAACTTTTGTTACATAATATAAAACAGAAATTAGAATCAGCCATTGGGTACTGCTTCCGACTTCGTAGAATGTTTGAGGGGGTTCCATCGAGTTATGGGAATAGGAAGAATCTCATCAGTAGGGTTTCAATTCCAATGAGCATTTCATGCAACATCAGCTTTTGTTTAGAGAAAAAAGAATTAAAATGATAACTATCTAGGAACTATCCGTCTCTCCTTGCAAGTATCCAATTATTTTTAATGATTAGTAGGGTTTTTAGTAGAGTTAACTAAAATAAATTCAAAATTAAATCTCCCCTCTAGCATTCACGCTTTAACTGGCGAAACTCTGTGCCATGGGCATTTTAAAAGTATTAATATGAGAAGGTAATTTGTTTCTGCTATTATAAAGTGATCAGAACATTGATGGTGATTCTAATACACAAAATGCAAAAAATAAGCTGTAGCTCCAAAATCTTAAACCAATATAAAAAATCGTATTATTTACTTTATAAAATGAAAATACTTTTTATTTCTCTCCTATTATGTTTTGCCTTAAAATTTGACATTAACATCACAATAATATTAAAAACTTGTTTTTGAGATACAGTAACAACTAAAACAGTTTTTTTCTACTGCATGAGAATATTGAAATCTAAATAGTCTAAATATTTTCCTTTAATGATTATTTTATTTCTTTATATCGAAGTGAAAATATTACTAAATCAAATGATTAAAAAATAATAAAGAGGCAACTCCATTTCAAGCGCTTGTTATATAAACTTATGTTTATTATCACAGTAATTTAGGTAAGCTACATTTAACTAAACTTTCTTTTAGAATTTATGTACCATCTGTAATCATTAATCTTTTACAGACTATATATAAATATTGCCTTACAAATTGCGAAAGCTTTAGCTGGAAATGTTTTGTAAAACACATTAAATTTATCAAATTTATTGAAGAACAACTTGTACTTTATATTAACTTTTTTTTGTATGTAGTAAATTTGGCAATAAAAAATAAGGAGAAAAAACGTTTTAGGACCAGAACACACTTCACACAAAAACAGAGTAACACATTGTCAGGATTATACCCGAGTGGGGATTAAATAAACAAGGGTTGATTTTTTGTCCCTACATTGAGCAAACACAGACGCCAATGTTGACATCATTATCCCACAATATGGTAACACTATTGGAAATTTATGTTAAGCAATTTCCACGCTGTAGATTACAGTATAAACTGAACTGTACTTTATTGTTTTATATACCCAATGACATCGTATTTGATGTGCTATTAATGTTACGATTAATCACTCTGAGTGAATAGACTATGAAAATGAATTATTGAAATAACCTATGCTTGAATAGATCGTAAATCACAGAGAATACTTGGATATTATTATTAAATGTTATTAAATATTAATATCCAACATATTAAATTTCTTACAAACACTGATATAATTTTGGTAAAATATATTTTTTCATATATACCTAGGAATGTAAATAGAAAATATTTTCACATTTATCAAAAATATCAGCCGTATGAATTTCGACTGCGTTTTATATTTTGATTTTGTGGTGGTAGGATTTTATAATGAGTTATACTAAACCTACACAAGAGGTAAAACGATGTTATCAAAACGAACTACGACATTGTGCTCTATAGGATATTGAAACAGTCCCTTAACTACAACTTTCAGTATATTCAATAATTAGATAAAAAAAAAAAAACAAATTATAATATAAGTTTAGAAACTGTATTTTTTTATAATTAAGTTACATATTAGTGTAGCGATACGTTATTGCATCATAAGAATAAGACGGTTAAGGTGCGCTAACAAACTTTAGCGTATTGATTAGAGCTTGTGGGGTTTCAGTGAATGCGGTTCGTTAGTCGCTACTAGTCTAGCGATATTAGATCAGGCAATATTTGATTAGGACAGGTGTTTTATTCAGTCGCATGTACGCTGCATTCGAGCACGTTTGGAATTCATACCGCCAGTAATAATTTTTGCCATCGATTATTCAATGCCAAAAATACAAATACATCAGGAAATCGACAACATAAAGGTATGTTAAAAATAACTAATATATCAATTTCAGTCACGTCAGTTTAATAAAGGATAATTGAATTATGTCTAATTTAATTTTACATTTGCTTCAGTTCAAAACCATAAATTTAAGCTTATTAAATATTATAGGTATGAAGAAATCAAAAAATAATCATAACTCGGGAAAAAGAATTGTTAAAAATACTGCTTCTAAGAATGATAGTGTACCGCCGAAAGTAGATTCTGTAGATGAAGATGACCAAGGTTTTGGAGGTTGGCTCAGGTATAGATAAATTTAATTAATATTTTGAATGATACTATAAATAAATTACATTATATAAGTAGAATAGTAGGATTAGTTGATTGTTATAAATAAAATTATACTTTATATACATTGTATTAATAATTATTGAGTAATCATAAGAAATGAAATGTTTTTGCATGTTTTAATATAATAGGATATTGTAGAATATGTTCATCATTTTCTAAAATTAACAGCAGTTATATACAATTCGATTAAATATGTATATTTGTTTTTATCTATTTCATGAAAATGTCACAACAAAATATAAAATTTGCCTAATGAAAACTATTAGAAATAAAATTGTTACATCCAATTTGTTTTCCTTAATATGGTATTATAATTCTTGTAATATGTTTAAAAATTATGACTATTCTACTCAATCCTTATTTTCTTTTATATTAATTATTACAGGTCAACAGAAGGAATAGAAAATATGAGATTATTTGTAATAGCCAACAGCATTGTTCTTTTGACTACTCTTGCTTACCCGCATTTGCAATTCGTCATTGGTTGTATTACTGATGCTTTGTACGGCTCGGACGGTATAATTTAGAGGTGTTTGATTAATTTGTGATTATTGTGACCTAACTGTCATATTATTTTGAATTATTAATGTGACAGTAATTATTGGCAGTGACTAATGTTTTAGGATACATATGTATGTTATATTTAATGTTTAAATACTAATATTAAATATAAAATGTTGTTATCTATTTCAAACATATAATGAGTAGTTCTATGTTTTTCTTGCTCTGCTTACTTAATTAATTAAATTAAAAGAAACAACCATATATTTTCTTAAATTTTAACTTTATTCCAGCCTATTTCTTTATATAAAACATATTTGTCTTTTCATTTATAAAGTATATGAAATATTTTTTTCTGTTCTAAGTGAATCCCATTGTTCACTTAGTCATTTCTTTTCTTAGCTTCGTAGCTTAGTAAAGTGAGTGAAATGTATTAGTGAGTTTTTCATTTACGAACGAGGAATGCTATTTATCTTCGAAGATACGGACATTTGGTCTTGAAAAATATTACTTTGTTTAGAGAGGCTTTTATTAAAATAACCATTGTTATGTTTGCATTGTGTATTAAGAAATATTCTATTCGTTGTGGGAAAATTATATTTTTAAGGATCCCCAGATTTTGTAATATTTAAAAATGATAGGTTTCTTTTTTCGTTTTTTGTTTTCAGTAGGAATTTTATTGTGGTATTCTATGAATTTATGGGAAATGATTACTGAATACTTCAATAAAGAATTCCAGAAAGCTGTTCTTAACAGCGCTGATGAATTTGAGTATGAGGAACTGTAAGATGTCCAGATCAAAGTGAAATAAATAATAAAATGTATCAATTATGCTTATACATATAACCTATTTATAAAATAGTAGTGCTTGTAATTATGTTTTTTAAATAAATTATAATCTTTTTTTTTATTTCATTTAATTAAATTCCAAAATAAAAAATCTACTCATTTATTTTCACTTTAGTTCTGATTTATATTTCGGACTCCAATTTTAAATAAAAAAGTGTAACAAGTTTGCTGGTACCAATACTTACTAAAGAAAACCAATATTTTTACAAAAATAATTGAAATCTGGGCATGAACAGAGTTTGGTGAATAATGTAAGCGAAAACGCCTGACTTCTAAGTAAACTAACAAAAAAAAAAAACATATAATTGAATCGCAAAAGCGGAGGCCTTTCATCTTGAGTGAATTGAGTGAATTCGAAACATCAGAGAGATCAAATTGCTTTTCAATTCAATAAAAGATGACAAAATTAAAAACAATTCCTTTATTAATTTAATCTTTAAGTTCTGAAAGAGTTATATAGTAAATATACTTTGAAATATGTTTATTTGCTTTAAAACTTTTTATAATAAGTTATTCTAAAGAATACATGTTACAAAACTGTAATACCCAAATATTACTGTAATATTACTACATATAACTGCAATATATGTGAAAAAAATATTAGTTCTGTGTCACATACACGAAGATTAGCATTTTAAAATCTTCTTTAATTTCTACATGGTCTTATTTTTTGAAAGTGATATGATGAGCTAATACCTATATTTTGAATAATTATATAAAACTTCCATATGAAATAAGTTTAGATTAGTTTGATTTAAATTTAAAATTATAAACTTGTATTATAATACATATTTTGTAACTCAGTTGCTTAGCCGCTGAATCATATGTAAGGATGCAAAATCGATGTGCAAAAGGTTTTCTTGCTTTTCGGCACTTTGCCAAATGCATTTGTACAAACTCCGCGACTGCCTTGCAATTTATTAAGAAGTAACTGTTAACTATTTAATTGAACTAATTCCAGTAAAAGGTCTGTTTAATACTAATGATATTTTATTATATGCTAAAACAAATATAAAAGAGCAATGTTGTGACACTATTCCTTTAATATTTTCTTAGGGAATTGATTATTATTAATTAATAATATACCTAATAATAATAATCATTAATTAATAATATACCTATTATATTGTTCATATTCCACTGCTTTGTAAAAAAGATAAAAATTATTTAATATAAGGATCATATTTAATCTTGAAATTTAAATGAAATCTGAGCATTAATGTCTTTGTAATAGTGTTACTTGGTGATATATACAGGAACTCTTACATGGAACTTTCTTACGAGCGATTTCATAGAATTTATAAAACTTCCAACAAGATGTACCAAGATTACTGAAATAGCTTATTAATACACTGGAGAATAAGAGAACAATGTTGGTATATATTTTTTGTCACATTTAATCTTTATTTTTGTTTGTTTATTTTGTTTTTATTATATTTTTATTCGTAAAAAATGAATAGTAAGAGAAAAAATATACTTTCTTTATAATTTTTTTATCTTGATTCTAGTATAATGTGATAATATTTCGCCATATAGAGAGAATGAAAAATTCCATCAGGTAAAGTGAAACTCATCGTTTTACTTCACAACGACTCCAAAACAGGTAATATTTTACATAGTGGTTTAATAAAATGCAAAATATGTAACCATTATTTCGCCATATAAGAATGGAGTGTAACTTTGAACCAATTTACCTGAGTTTCCTTTATTTTGTGCTAAATGCTACAGTGAGTTTTGTACGTATACCATCTAGTCGAGGAAGCTTTTCCTAATGAAATCAAACAAATTTTATTACTATATATTACTTAATTAACATCATAGTATCGGTTTAATATGGTGTTTAAATTGAAAATAATATTATATAGAAGAAATCATATAATATTTTTTTATTGTTATAATTATTGAAAAAAGGCCAAACTTTATATTTAAAATGTGTCCTAGAGGTTTTTTCCGGTAAGAAATGTGTTTTGAAGATTAAAACTTGTCTTTTATAAGTCTTTTAAATGTACAAATGGTATTTTTATTTTCTGTTATACCTATATATTTTATTCTAAGTTTCTCTCTATTATTTAATGAGAAGTATATAAATATGTCTAGCATAGAAAAAGATATATATATATATATATATATATATATATATATATATATATATATATATATATACTTAAAAAGTATCAGACCTTGATCCTCCTTTTAGTATAGTTTGTTAAGCATCAGTTAAGTCCTGAAACAAGATTTTATCGAGATTACAAATTTAAATTTTTGAAATCGATGTCGAAACGATGTCGATGTTTAAGTTTATTATAATTTAATGTTTATTTAGGGTCTATAATAAAAAATTCTTCAATGAATAATTTCCTCATTTAAGTTGGCTGATATGGTTTGCACTTTTATTTCCATAACCATTCAAAAGGAAAATTAAATCTGGCGCGATTGAGGTCGAAACTCGTATTAAATAATTAAATTGGGTCACTGTTTCATTTTACATTTCACCTTAAAGTTCCTATACTTCACTATTCATCAAACTTGTGTATTTTAATTTGTAAACAAAAAAAAATTACGTTGGTTAAAGCTTGCTCCTATACGTTTTTTTTTATACTTACAAGAACTGTATACAAAGATTTAGTCCACGTCAAATTAATATTAATCTTTAACCTAATTTATTATTCAGTACATTCATAACTTTATACAATCAATACAGACAAAATTCGTCTGGCAACAAGCCAAGGCGGGTGTTTCATCTACAAATCTATTTAGCCTCTGTATTACCATTATATAAATTTCAAAAGCCAATCATCGCTGTGCTTACACAGAGAGATGGAGTGTACCTACAAAGCCTCCGACCACAGTTATGTCCAAGCTGTCACCAGCTAGCATATTACTATACAAATTAGTTCATTGTAAATTATGATAGGTACAATTATATATGTACGTATATTTAAGTGACGATGACTGTGATTTAAATTGCATATTTTTGTAGAATATAAATTAGTTTTGGCAGTAAGTAATGCTATCTGATTATCAGATTTAACTTTAATTATTTATGAGCAAATTTTATTACATACATATGTATAAGTGGTAGATCTTATTTGATTTTTGTCTCATACGTTTAAATTCTGGTTATTATAAGGTTCACTTACCTTAAAATTTAGTTTTGATATCATTTTGTTCATCAATTCAGAAGGAATATATTACGTTTTGTTTTCTATATTTTACAAATAAAATAAAAACTTACAAAATGACAAATTGCAATTAACCATTCCACTTTCAAAACATTTCTGTTATGATATTAGTTTTTGTGTTTAGATTGGTATATAATAATTTAAACTACGTGTTTGTAAATTTCTAATAGTTCCATAATTCTGAGTGAAAACAGACACATATTGCTCTTCACTCAGTTCTTGTATTTCTGAAATATTAATTCATTATAACTTTAATGACATGTTTATTAGTTTTCTGACTTTACGATGATGAGCTTTTTATAGAACCATTTGTAATAAACTCTTCAGTCTTAGTGTTTTAAGCTTGGCAGGTTACAAAGAGCAGATTGCAAAAGTTTTTCTACTAAGACTCCAATTAAACTTGTTAAAAGCAATTTCCTTCGCATACTCATGAACGGTGTGCAAAATAAACATTCGTTATCTCGTTAGCCTATTAATTTCTCAAACGGTTAAAATAAAATAGTTAAATTGAATTAAAATAGAAAAAACTATAAACATTTAAAGGTAAGTTTTAAATAAGTGGAAATCGACTATTACCTCTTAATATATTCAAATTATAATTAAAAAGCAATGTGTGCTACTTTCGGACCTTAAAACTATCTTATTGCTTTATTTAATATTCCATGAACAATCGGTTGAGAGAAAAGTAATGAAAAACCGTACACTGATTAAAATAGAATATGTTGAATAAGACAATGATAAAATTTTAAAAATATCATCACCCAAAAAGCTGAAACATGTAATAGCATTGCAATTTTGTGTTAAAATCTTTTCTTTTAATTAATATGGCACTTAAATTGAAAAAATATGTCTTTTTTTGTATATTTTAAAGCTTTGAATGGATTTGGACATGTTAGACTTGATTTGAATGTAATTGAAAAGTTGACAACACTAGGATTACTAGCTATATACTCGTCACTATGTAGGAAGGGAAAATATGGTCACAATAAAAAGTT